ACTTGGACTTAACCACAGGGCTTCACATTCAATTACTGGCTCCTTATTGGGTTACAGAGGCTAAAATCTTTTAGTTTTTGCCTTCAGTCGGACTTGAACCATTGACCTTGACTGTGAGGGCATGGGAGCTTAACTGCTAAGCTATAGAATCCACATCCCAACCAAATTTTTTTTAAGATTGCAAATAAAAACAATTAGCTAAGAATTCTAAAATTCAAAGTAAATATTAAAGATGATTTACTAAAACAAGTTTGAGAAAGAATAACTTAAAACATTAAGAGTAAAATAGAAAAGATTTTTACAAGAAATTTATCTTTCAAAAAAAAGATTCTGTTATTCAAGTCTTATCTTATTTCAAAAATTTAGTATATAGCATATCTACTGCTACCTAGTAAAAAACAACTAGATAGAATAAATATACTTATATTTGGCTGAATTAAGAACAAGTCTAAGTTACTATCAAGATATTTAGTATTTTAACTAGACTACAACAAAAAAAATTCAGTACTTAAAGACATTTTAGACTTCAGACTCACTTCAATTTGGTTAAAACTCCTTTTAACAAATAGCTTATAGACCAAAATTGAAAGATTACTTATTTTTTAAAGTCTTTAAACTAAAAAAAATTTAACTGCAATAACAGTTCTTACCAAAATGCCAATAAAACTTAAAAGATAATCTAATTATTAGAAGCTATATCTAACTGTATAAAAGAGACTTAAAGAAATCATTTTTACAACTAGTAATTGGTCATAGATTACATTACAATTAAAAGTTTATAATACTTCTAGAAACTAATTTTTAGTACAAAGAGCTACTAAATTTTTAAAACAAAACTTAATAAAATCTATTATAATACAAATCTTATTATGTTTACTAGAAGATTTTGAAAGAGCTTTTAACTAGTTTTAGTACAAAGAACTTCTTAATAAAAAGAAGAACATTTTCTGAAAACTTCAAAACAATGCATTATCACTAGAATATTGTCTTATCTATATCAATAAAAAAATTAATAAAAACTGTCTAAACTGTACAAATCAAAAACAAACTTCAAGCCATTTTGCTATTAACTGTTGAATTAGTTAAATTTTCTGAAAGGAAGAATATATCTTTTTTTAAACAAAACTAAAAGAAAAACATCTCTAGTCAATAGAAGAAATTCTAAATACCTCAAACATAAAAAAGGTTTAGAAAAAAAAAGTTGGCATTTTGGCTTCATATTATATTAATATATAAAATATAATTAAGCTAGATGGAAAAATAATATTATTTGAAAAGAAGCTATAAAGAACATTACAAAGACTAAGATTATTAAAAACTTCAGAGTTTTAGATAAAATATCTAAAAGTAAGACAAAAGCTAAGATAATTAGATTCTTGAATCTAACTATAAATAGATAATGATATTTAGTATAATAATAATATATTTGTAATTTATTAAATAAAATATGCTATTTCATATTTTTTTTTTTTTTAAAAAAAAAAAATTAAAAAAAAAAGAATCAGATTTCTTCATATATATTATATATAGCACTTTACAAAAAATTAAAAACAAAAAAAATAAAAATAAAAAAAATACTAATTAAAAAATTAATTTTAGAAGAAATATAAAACAAGCTAATATAACTTTTAAGTTCAAAATCAAGATAACAGTTTGCAAATATAATAACATGAACAGTATAAGACATATTTTACAAACAGATATAAAAAATATAATATAAAAAGATAAATAAATAAAAAAAAAAAATAATAAGCAAAATAAAAAGAAAAGATTAAAAAAGAAAAAACAATAGAAAAAAAAATAAATCAACAAATTGCAGAAAAAAGTAAAAAATAAACTAAAGAAAAAAACATCAAATTAAGAAAGAAGTTAGAGAAACAATGTTAAAGCTTGTTATAAAGAAGAAAAACTCTTTTATTATAAACTTTAAGTAATCAAACAAGCAGCCTACTTCTGTTTGGAGTAATGTAACAAGTTGTATTTAGAATAACCAAATAATGTCAGGCTTAGTTATTAGATGTCTCTATATAATTGCAAATATAATTTTAAGAATTTTAATAAAACCCTAATATTACTGCTTAAATATTAAAAAAAAACTTTTTATAATAATAAGGTTATAAAAAAATATTTGGTATAAATATAAAGCTAATACAGCTTTATAAATAAAGTTATTGTTATTTGAAAAATTAAAACACTTTATGTAACTGTAAATATAAATGTTTTGCACTATATAATTTTTTTCATTATAAAATATTTTTTTGTATCACATCTAATTATAAAATTTAATTAAATGCGGTTACAAATTTATTATAATAATTCTATATTTCAATTTTTTAATAATAAAATTTTATCAAATACGGAAATATTTTTAATACTAAGTATAATACAAATTTGTAAATACAATTGTTTATTTGTAATAAATTATTGCGTAACTAATATAAAATTCTTACAATAAAGTAAATTTACTAATAAGCCTTTCACTATATATAATAAATTTAATAATATTTTTAATTTTTTAATAAATTTAATTGTATATAATTCATATATATATAATATAAACATTTTTTTAACTTTAATAAATCTAATCAATCTTATGCAATTTTGAAATAAGAATTACTTAATTGTAATACAGCAGAATGCATAAATCTGTATTAAAGTGTGAATGTTAGCATTGTTCTTTGCACTCGGTTGTACAACTATTGTTCAAATCCTTCTCATATGCTTGTCTTTGTGTTAACAAAAGGTTATCGGCTAAAAGCCTACGAGTGATAGGCCTCAAATAAGTTTATGACATGACTAGTGAACGTGGCAATGATTATTGAGGTTTTTCTTTTTGAATCTTTGCCGCTAGTTACAAACAACCGGTTTTTGTAAAAAAAATTTTTTTTACGTACATCTAAAAGGTGATTCGGCCAAGGCGTGCATTTAATAATTATATTTATGGACTTAAAAAATTGACTTGATGTATAAATTTGTCGACAGATATAAATAGCAATAAGGCTCTAAAAAAGTTGAGGGTACGTAACCAACAAGAGCCAGAAAGAAAATATCCAAAACAGTATTTGTATTAATTATTAGAATGAACAAGTTCGACCGCAAAGAAGGAAGAATTAAATTAATAATTCAAGGGAAAGCAAGAATCAGAGGCTTAGAAACATAATTGTGAAGAAATAAATAAATAAATAAATAAATCTAATGTTTGTATATTTGTTTGGTTGGTTGCGTTTATGATTAACCGTTACGCCGTCCGTTTATTGGTTTATAGGCCGATCTTGTTTGAATGCTATTATTATGACGCGTCTTATCACCGTCTTATCAACATATCGATATATCCTGTTTGGGATTCCTACTGTTTTTGGTAAGCTTACGCAGCACGCTTAATGCTTGGTTTCAGGGTTTTGTATGACCTTCTTGTGCGCTGTTTTCGTTGGTTTTTCTTAATTTCTGTTCTTTTTTTTTTTTTTTTATTTCAGTTTATGGTGGAGGGTTGTTTTTTTTGCTTCTCTACTTTCTAATCTCTAATATAATCTCCTACTTAGTAATAATAATTTTATCGTTCTCAGTGTAACCTTACTATATAATTTTTAAAATTCACCAAAGCACTTCTGTTTTTTAATAAGTACTAATTAATTGGGTATTGTAATCTTCAAAGACTTAATTCCGTCCTGTTACACGAACCCTTCAGTGTAATCTTAAAGACTTAACGACTCGTGGCTCGTTTGATTAGTCAGGTCTTTTTATTATCTCAAAAAACACCTTGGGCTTCACAAGTTTAACCCATTCACGTTTTTGCTGTGCAAAACTTGATGTGACCACTTCTACAATACATATTAAGATATTTATAAGATGGCTTCTCAACAATCGGAAATGGGCAAGGATTCATTTGCTTCTGCTGTTACTGGAAACAGCGCTGGCGGCTCACCTCAACATGAAACGAGGTATTTTTCTTCAAAAAGGTTAGTTATCAGTATTGATTATCCTTTATTTTATTTTATTTTTTTATATAAAACATAGTGTTTGTCATTATGAGTCAGCTGATTCAATGCGATGGGAATTTTTACTTACTATCTACAATGTTGTTTAACAGAGCTAGAGAAATACAGGCGGAGGAAGGAATTACTACTCCTTATCGTTCAGGCCCCCTTCCACCACCGTCCATTTCTACTAATGGTGCTTTTAATAATGGTACACTCCTCTCGGATTCTACAGCTAGTGTATCACTTGAATATTTAAACTTAAAGTCTGTTGGAACAAAAGTCTCACCCACTCCTAGTAGTAGCAGTCCTGATCACCTATCCTCTTATTCCTCTTCATACCGTCGGACTAGGGCTGATACTCTACCTTCTTTGTCACGACCTATTGTTGGCCATCATCCTACTTCTTCATTGTCTATCGCAACACCTATTGGATCTTCTGCTTCCGCGGCCACTCTTCTTACCCCCCCAAAACCCAATTCTCGTCTTCGATCTGGGTCTCTTACTTTACCATCAGCATCACTTTCCGCTGCATTTGGTCCATCTATTTTTACTTCAGGATGGTCTGATCATAGAAGTGAACAAAATGGTCCACCAACTCCTCCAATGCAAACACCTACTACTGGTGATTTGCTTCGTGGGGATGAAAATAATACCGTTGGTAAAACCTTGGACTATTTGGGCTTAGATGATCATGAACATCTTAAAGCTACTGGTAACCTTCCGCAGATCAAAGTGGACATGAAACCATCAAACACTCAAAATTATCAATCTTCTGTGGGATCTATTTCTTCTTTACCTGCTCTTCGTAGGGATGCAAATAGGATTCGTTCTTATTCTGTATCTGCTACTGCCAAGTATGATGATCCACCGCCTACGACAACTGTATCTTCGAATAACCTTTTCCCACCAGGTTCTGCAGCGGTCCAACAATTTCATCAAACCCATTCTCGGCCTCGCGCTATTAGTTTGGGTATTTTGGATCTGCCAAATGATATCATGCTTATGCGTCAAGGAAGGAACGGTCAAATGTATAATGATTTATCAGAATCCGGGCAGGGTTCTAATACCCCATCCAGATCTCTTGGAGGTGAACAATTGGTTGGAATGATGCTTATGGGCGCTATGGAAGGGAAAAAGAAACAACAGCAACAAATTCATATTGAAGATGACTATTTATTGACAGATCATGATGAATTAGAGGTATAATATCAATTTAATTCATAAAATTTTTTATGTATTGTGGCAAAGTTTTGTAGTGCATTATTCTAATTTAAGGTTGCAATTACACAGCATACTCGTTCTGGTGTGTCAAGCCCTCATGACCACACACCTGACCATTCTCAACAAAGTACACCACCTCCACAAACACCAACTCGGTCATTATGGATTGGAAACATCGATCCAAATCTTAGCACCCAAGATCTTATGCAACTTTTTTCGCCTTATGGGTCCATCGAAAGTTTAAGACTTTTGCCAGATAAAGAATGTGGTTTTGTTAATTTTGTTCGAGTTGAGGATGCAGTTCGTGCTAAAGACGATATCATGAATAGAATGGGCAGTCGAGTTGGAAATTGTATCGTTCGTGTGGGTTATGGCAAGGCAGATTCATTAAATACTCATGATTTGTCCTTGTCATCACAAACACAGCTTCAACCTACGCGTGCTCTTTGGATTGGAAACATTCCCACCTCGACCACACCACAAATTTTACAGAACATATTTGCACCATTTGGTCCTATTGAATCTGCTAGAGTCTTAACGCATAAAAATTGTGGATTCGTCAATTTTGAAAAATTAGATGATGCCGTAAAAGCCAAGAAAGCGCTGCATGGTAAAGAGGTTCTTGGAAGCGCTGTTGGCCCTGTCAGAATTGGATTCGCCAAGGTACAACCTAAACCATCACCAACATCGACTCCAGAACCAGGATCTCCTGCAACTCGTCATATTCGTAATCTTTCCTCATCATCATCCTCTTCTAATAACCAGTGTTCTGGTCAATGGAACGGACAAGTTGAAAATTACCATAATAATATGATGCGAATGATGATGTCTGGGGCGACAAATGTTTCTGGCAGTCTAACCGAAAAGCAATTAATGATGCGCGAATTGAGTGGTGGTGTAGATGATGACATTGAAGATGTTAATGGTAATTAAGCATGTACTGTTAATTATTCAATTCCGAGTTTGTAATACATATTTTAAATAGTCAGAATGGTTTGCCATGCATAACCCGCGTTTGATAAAAGTATATATAAATATACTTTTAGCGTTAATTTATAAAATTATATTAAATTTCAATAAGGAAATATTGTACTTAATAGTACATAAACAATATTGTCAATTATCAATATGAATGATGGTGAGGCTATTATTTTGACATTTTACGCTATTATTAATTTTAGAAAATCGCCCTCCCACAACGTATTTTACATCTATTCCTCCTGTGGGTGACCCAAATCCGAATCGTAAACCTGATGCTTCAAGATTGCGAGAAATTCGCAAACGTTTGGACAGTGGTCACTGCTCTGCAAAAGAAGTCGAAGCAATCGCATCTGAAGTTTTAGAAGAATGTGTGGAACTGTCAAGCGGTAAGGGTCTAATTATATTCCATCTAAAGCATTGGGTTGTACACAATGAAACTTATAAAAGTCTTTTCGTCCATTACTATAAATTTAGATTATATTGGCAATACAGTAATTCAAAAATTATTTGAGCGCTGCTCTGAAAATACCAAAACTAAGATGCTGGAAAAGATTGCACCGCATTTAGCGACTATTGGTATTCATAAAAATGGAACTTGGGCAGCACAAAAGATTATCGATTGTGCCAAGACTCCTGCTCAGGTATATATTATTTTTTAAATTATCTATATATATTATTAGATATAAGATTAATCATTCTTTTCTATTCTTTTTTTTTTTTTTTTTAGATGCAACTTATTACATCTAATGTTAAACCATACACTCCTCCGCTTCTTTTGGATCAATTTGGAAATTATGTCGTACAATGCTGTCTACGTTTAAGTCCTCAAAGGAACCAATTTATATTTGATGCAATGGTAGACAGATGTTGGGAAATAGCACAGGGTCGATTTGGCGCACGTGCAATGAGAGCTTGTTTAGAAAGTCAGCATGTAACCAAGAAGCAACAGGTGAAACCATATCCTAGATTACAATCGATAAAAAAAATCGTGATAAGCTTTATTAATTTGTTTTATTCTATAAATTTTAATTGTGTACAGAAACAAGTTGCTATTGCTATTGTAATGAACGCAGTCCCGCTTTCCACTAACCCGAATGGTGCTTTATTATTGACATGGATGCTTGACACTTCATCCTTCCCTGGTCGCTATCGTGTTCTCGCTCCGCGCCTTGCTCCTCATCTGGCACATTTATGCACTCACAAACTTGCATCGTTAACTGTTCTTAAGATTATTAATCAACGACAAGAAGCCGACGCTCGTGATTTGACGATTACATCTTTATTTTTTTCTGCAAATGATCAAATTTTGGAAGATGTATTGAGTGATCAAGTTCACGGCGTTGGGGTTGTACAAAAAGTTTTGGCTAGTCCATATGTTGACAGCAGCGAAAAACAGAGGTTGGCAGAAAAGGTTAAAATAGTTTTGGGCAAGTTAAAAGTCCAACAGGTGCAAGGATACAAACGTTTACTGGAAGAATTGGGAATGGTTGGTGATCCTGCTTTGGGTGCACCGGCTATGAATTCTGGTCCTTCCCCAGTTGGTATTCCACAAGGTGTGTTTTCTACTCCTTTGCCGCCAGATTTTGCTGCCGCTGCTGCCGCTTATTACGCTGCTGCATTTGCCAATCAGCAAATGCAACAGGCTGCAGTTAGTAATCCTACTACCGAAAATAGCAATTCTCCTCACGAGCAATTGGCTCCTCAATCGGCAGGGCAACAAACCTCAAGTGAAAGTTCTACTTTAAATTCAGGAACACAGTCTTCAACACCGATGGCTTCAACACCGACAACAACTTATTCATCAACACCAATGTTTATGAATAATATGCCAATGTCTCCTCATCCGCATTCGCCTTTTCCACCTACATCACCATATCCTCACATGAGTCCTTTCACGCCTTTTATTCACCCGTCCACTTTAGCAGCAGTCGCAGCTGGTATGTATGGACATCCGGCAATGTTTAGTCCCGCGGCTTATCCATACATGCTCGCGGCAAGTGGTGCGATCCCGCCACCAATCGTGGGCACCACTTCACACACACAAGTCACTAGTTCCATGCCGAACACTCAGATGCTTGCCTTTCTACAGCAGCAGCAGCAATTGTTTCAACAGCAGCAACAACAACATTCGCAGCCACAAGAACAACGGTCGCCATCTGTTGGTAGTGATGCGCAGGCGCATACATCTCCTCAAAATGCCATTTCCGAATCGCTTTCTCCATCTTCTATTGGTCACGTTGAAGTCCAGCAGCAATGAAGTATTACATATCAAAAACCATAATAATTATTTTTTATTTTACTATTATTATTTTCATAAATTGAAGTTCCTATTTTGCTTTGTTGGGTCTGATTTTGGATACAAAAGCTTGCTAAACGGCATTTTTTTTGTTTCAAGATCTTATTATGACCTTATATATATATATTTTTTGGTAATGGTTCACGACAAGAACGAAAAAAAGCATTGATCTAGTACATTATGTAGTTATTTTTTTTTATGCCAAAAGTATATAATTTTTTCGTTCCTCAATAATGTAATTTGATTTTTTTAGTTTATTATTTTGGATGGGCACTGAGAAGAGTTGTATTTGTTGTTAATACGAAGTAGTTTTTACATTTGGACAGTGTCGTAAAGTTGCGCTTGTATAATTGATGCTTTTTTCATAAACATTATTCTGAATGCTTCTTTCGACACGTTATTTGATTACTTATAAATAAATGGATAGATTAATTTCTTTGTAAAATACTAAGATTCTACTAGTACATATATACTGTAGCCAATCTTAAACCCTAATAAATTTGTAGTATACATATTTAAACCAATTTGATCAATTTTTCAAAAATGATAATTAAATTTCTATAAGTTAATCCTCCGGATCTTCAACTACCACACTCTCAACGTCGTCCTGCCATTTTTCTTCAATAGCTGTTAATAATACCCCAGCATTTACAATAACCTCTTCAACAAGGGACATTACAATTAGACTCTGAAAATCATCAAATTCTCTAATCATGTTACTAACAAAAATTGTTGAATAATCATCAATGTTACTGTTCCACCACATAATTGATTCTGGTTCTAAATTGATTTTAAATGTTAAACTACCCTTAGAAACATAAGTAGTCTCATGTTTTAAGTCAAAAGGAGAAAAAACATGTAACGAAACATTTTTGATAGTTTGAGAAGGATCAAAAATGGATAACCAGGTAGAACCAATACTTATATGAGAATTATGAAGAATAGTTTCCCATCTTTCGGTGCCTTGTAATTTTCTACCTATAATCTTTACATGTTTAATCGGTGAGGAATTATCGAATGTCTTGTCATTAATCTTGAATCTAGTGTTAAGTGATAATATATCAACGTCGCAAAACATTAGATCAAAAATATGAGTTGGACCAGAACTGTAGGTGTCTAAAGGCTCGATTGTAACCTTTTATAGTTAATTGACCCAAAATTTTAGTAAATTATTGTTTGAAAAAAAAACGAAAGTTTGGTCAATTATTTCAATTATTGAACGCACCAATAAGTAGTTATTCCCTGTTCTGAATTTACGTTGAATTCTTTCAACTATTATTTTTCGAATCTCATATCGAAGTGCTTTGGATAAACTTAAGTATCTACAAAGATCTCGAGCAGGAATAAAAGTAAATACTGCAAGAATAAGCTCTAACGGTAATTGCTCCAGGCAAGCCATTAACGGGGTTTTTTTTTTATGTAACGAGAAGGAAAAGTCCCTCGAGAATATAAGCAAATAGTACAATACTATGTATATATTTGAATATCAAACAATACGTTACTAATTGCGCATATTGTGTCATTGTATAGCTGTCTACTTGTGCGTTTCACAAACCTTAAATTTTGACTGATGCAATGTTGATCATTATTCGCATGACGAGTATTTTAAATGAAATTTAGAAATTTCAGAAAGTTGGCAGATAAACAACATTCCTGAAGATATAGGAAAACAATTATTACATAATAGTAAAGATTGTACGGTTGCTGAAAATTGTATCATTTATGTATATCTTAATTTATAATCTTCCAAGTTAAATTTTTCCCAGCAAAAAAAGGGACAATAGAACCCCTACGTTCTTCAACCGATTCATCGAAAGAGTATGAGTGAGGAACTAGCAAGGCTTCCTTAACTAACGTAATTTCACGATATTTGCCTTCTTCTTCACTAACACCATAGAATTTCTTGCCATTTTCACATGCGAATTTTCTTAAACAATTTATTGCACCAAACGAATCCAAGATTGTGGCAAGATATGGAATAGCTAGAGGAGTTGTAAATACACCAGCACAAGAATGTGCACATTCCTTGAGATAAGCGGGATGTGGGGCTGAATCAGTACCCAAGAAAAATCTTGGATGTCCTAAAATGGCAGACGGTGAAATTAATAATAATACCAATTTTATGTATCGATGTCGTCGATAAGTACCTTCAAGAACAACATCACGCAAGGCCTGTCGATCATGAGGAAATTTAGCAACTGGTTTACAAAAATTATGACATTGGCCAGCCCAATCATCTACTGTCAATTGAAGATGGTGTATAGTAATAGTACAACCAATAGTATCTCCAAGAGCCTTTACCTAATTGATATAAAGAGCTATTAACCTAAACGGATTTCTTAATAAATATAAATTACTAAATTACCGTATCAACAGCCGCTTTTGTAGTAGCATGTTCCAGGACTATCTTCAACTTTGGAAAATCATTATGCAATTGCTTTAAATGCATTAAAAACTTTTCTTCAGCATTCATAACACAAATATCCTGAATCAAAATATAATTATATATATTGTATAATCCATATGAGTGCCGTCAAGGAAAAACCTGTCATTGGGCTTTCGATTTTATCTTGTACCGGACACAATCAATAGATTGAGTCCGGCACAAAATAGAATAGAAAGCTCCTTGACAGAGATACTAAAAGTACAAACCTGATCAGCATCACTCGGAAGCTCACCATGAAGATTCAGGATCAACCCAACCTCTTCCATTGCTTTAAAGACCGGATAATAAATAGCATAAGATTCGATACCTGATTCTGAATTTGTCGTAACTCCTCTTGGATAAGATTTAACACCTATAAACATTCGGTTAACCTATTGTATTTAAGATAAAAGATCAGGACACAAAAAAATATTATATATTACCGACAATTCCATGCTTTTTTGCCTTTCTGATCTCTTCAGGTGTCAATTCAGGACATAAATACAAACTCATAAGGAAGGTGACATTTGGAGCAAGTCTTTCAAGCTGAGCCTTATATTCAAGTGCTTGTTCTGTGGAAGTAATTGGTGGTTTAAGATTCGGCTAAGATTAATAGTAAATTGTTACCATTTGCTTCAGCATAGTTTTAGGGTTGTGAGTATAAACCTCTACCATAACATAGCATAACGAGACACCACCTTCAGCGATTCTAGGAGCTACCATTTCCATCAAGACACCTTGGCGGGTGTGAATATGAAAATCACAAGCCGCCGGTAAGGTAATTATCGTTTGCATTTTTTCAAATTCGAATTAACTTTTGATTGTCAATTAAATACTATGATCGGCCAATCAGATTTTTACAATGAGATTTCAAATGTCAATTTTTCTGCGAAAACGCGTTCTTTTAATTTCCACGGAAGCTGTTCGAAAATCATTATTATTTAATTGCTGATCAGATAAGATCTATATTAGGATTTGGGGCAAAATTCCTACGAATGATATTAACTATATGACAGAATCTGAGCGGAGTCCAATGATATGTAATTTTTTTATTAAATTAACAACTCAAGTCGATTAATTGAAAGTTGTAAAGCTCACTGAGACGCATCTAATGGTGGTTAGATCATCTGGTGCCGAGTTATCACTTAATAAAATTTCTATGCTTTTTTACATAGAATTATATAGTCGGCCAAGCGTTTTTTAGTGATATCTCAGCCAATTTGGTGATCTAATCACCATTAGATGCGTCTCAGTGAACTCTAATACTTTCAATTAATTGACTTGAGTTGTTAATTTAACAAAAAAATTCTTATCATTGAACTCTGCTCGGATTCCAGCATATAATATTATACTTATCCTTTAAATTTTACTATTGCCTAATATAGGAGTCGGTTAATTCAATATATAATCTACACATTGCATAAATTACATTCTTGATATTCTATATAACACACTAACACTAACTGCATCAAAAAAGTAACTCCAAAACTCGCTCGGCTTTACCTGACCATCATATTAGGAGGTAGTCTAAAGCGGATTTTACCCAGGTGCGCCAACAAAATTTCACAGTCACGTGGTATAGAAAATTCTTAAAGTTTGATTATGTTAGGGTTAGGGCCTATGCTAATGTTGAGGTTAAAGAGGTTTTGATAGTAAAATCGCTTAAGGAAAAACTTTTTGTTAGTGTACTAAAGGTAGTTTCTTATGCTGCTTTTTGAGAAATAAATGATTTTTGACAAAACAAACGTTTGTTTTGAAGCTTCCTGTTCATGTAATGGTACACCAAATTGATATTTGTTATTGGCTTATTTTCGTAAATCATCACGTAACTAGGGTTTGGGGCACAGGGTTTGGGAGCATGCCTTTTGACCAAAAGGCATGCCCTTATCATGTGATCTAATACTAACATATGATTGGCTAATTTGATTAGAAATACCGATACACCTTTTTAATTGATTACAATCGAATAATTTAAACCTTTAGTTAGTTTTAACTTCAGGCACCTGAAGCTACATTTGCAACTTCAGTTTAACAGTGTTATGAAGATTTATGATCTACGATAATTAGAAAAAACTGGTTTTTGCTTTTATTTTACATACAATACTGTGGTTTACTTTCACTATTACATTATTAATTTTTTTTTTATAAATAGTTTTCTTTTATTTATTTATTAACTTCTTTTTTTTTGTTATTTTTCACTAGGAAATAAAACTGTGAATGATCTTTGAAAAAAACTAATACTGAATTAAAAATAAGTAGTTTTGTTTATTCTTTTTGTTTTTATTCTACTAAAGTAAGAAATGTTAAATGGCATCAGAAAATTGAGATCTGGATTGAATGGAACTAGAACTAGACTAAAGATAAGTACCAGTCTCTACTGTAGTTTTATTTGTTCTTTTTCTTTTTCATTCTTTATACTAGATCTTTTTTCTTTTGTAGGTTTTAAAGAATATTAAATTGGCACTAGAAAATAGAGATTTGGATCAAATGGAACTAGAACTGGATTAAAGATAAGTACCAGTTTCTAGTTTCATTTATTCTTTTCATTTTTCATTCTTACTAAATTTTTTCATTCTTTTGTAGGTCTCTAGGAATGTTAAATGATATTGGGGAATTGAGATCTAGGCTGAATAGAACTAAAACTAAACTAAAGATAAGTATCAGTCTTTAGTTTCTTTTATAAGTTTCTAGAAATATCAAATGGCATTAAAAAACTAAGATATAGATCAAATGAAACTAGAACTGGGTTAAAAATAAGTATCAGCCTTTAGTTTTAGTTATTCATTTTGTTTTTCATTCTTCTAATTTTTTCTTTCTTTGTAAAAGCATTGAGAAAATTAAGATTTAGATCAAATAGAACTAGAACTAGACTAAAAATAAGTATCAGTCTTTAGTTTTATTTATTCTTTTCATTTATTCTTTTTATTTTTTATTTTTTTAATTTTTTTTTTTTTGTAGGTTTCTAGAAATGTTAAATAGTGGTGGTAGAATTGAGTTTTAGACCAAATAGAACTAGAACTGGATTAAAAATAATTATCAGTTTCTAGTTTTATTTATTTTATTTATTCTTTTTGTTTTTTATTATTTTTACTAATTTTTTTTTATTTTGTAAGTTTTTAGAAATGTCAAATGGTGCAAGAGAATTGAGATTTGAATCAAATCTAAATTAAAGATAAGTACTAGTTTTTATTTTTATTTTTTTATTTTTTTATATTTTTTTTTATTTATAGCTTTTTTTAATTTTTTAGGTCTGTGCTTTATTAAAGAATGATAAAACTTGAAGGCTTAAAGTCACAACTTGTAAGTTAATGAAAAAACAAAAGATGTATATACTGTAGTAGTAATAGTTGATAGGTTAGATTTTTTATAAAGTCAAAACATAGTAGTAAAAATTTATAAATGTATATTATAAATATGGTTTTTAATAAATAAATAAATTTTTTAAATAAATTATTTTAAGTATTTAATTATAATATTGATATTTGAATCATTATCTTTACTAATCTATATTGATTAATTGTTTATTAGATATGTATTGATTATAGTTATACATTTGACTATAATTAAGCAGGAGATTTAAATTGATACTTATTTAATAACTATTTAAAATCAATATTAATTCTTTTAATATAATTACTTAAAAATTATTGTAATAATTAATAATTCATTAATAATTGAAAAGTTCTATTGCTATCAGGCAGTATAAAAATTAAATTCTAATAATGGTTAATTTGAAATTTGCTTGCATTTTAAGCTCAATAAATATTTAAAAAATGGCAACGCATTGCATATATTTATCACTTATATACTTTGCTCTTATTTGCTGAAGATCAAATTTGGCAAGTTCATACAATAACTATACAAATAGAGTTGCTTATTTATAATTATTATTTTCTTATTAGTAAAAATAATTTATTATTAATATCTATCCAAAACTAGTTTTATATTTAAAATTTTTTATATTTTATTTGGGTTATACATTCCAAGCTAGCAAAATCATAATTGTATAGTTAATTTTAAAGGAATATATTCATTGCATAATAAATCATTAGGTTATAAGAAAAAAGATTGATACATACAATTTGAGCCTATCCAAAATTAGTTGTATATTTAAAATTTTTTATTTTTTATTTGAATTATATATTCTAAGCTAGCAAAACAGTGATTGTGTAATTAAGATTGTTTTTGAAAAGGTGCAATTCATTGCATAATAAATTGTTAAGCTGTAAAAAAAGATAAATATAAAAAATGTATATAAATCATATTTTTTGGTCTTGAATAAATTTTTAGAGCTGTCATATCAGCATAACTGGAAGGTTTAGACATTCATACAATGTTGTACAAGGGAACACAAACTGGTACCAGGTGGTGTGAACTCAAGATAAGTCCTTAGGCCATATAAATCACAAGAATCAGATAGAAAGACAGAAGCCTATTTAAAAAATCTAAGTAGAGAGGTAATCCAAACCTTTGACAGTGCTACTATAAAGACTAGACTTATGAAACAGAGCTAGAACTTGTAAAATTGGGCAAATGTGCTGATCTTTAAGAGGGACTAAATGAACCAACTAGGTTGTCAGAATTTTCAGATTTCAGAAAAAAAGAGTACATGCTAGCAAATATGTAAACCAGAGGTATGGTCTTACTTTACCTTTCTAGATTATCTGAAATAGCAACTTAGTAGAACTTGAATTGAATATCAAAGTAATAAGAATATGTTGTGAAGTCAGTACCAGGGTTGAAGTTAACTCTACAAAGGCATAGCAGTTTAATGATATGCTCTAATCACCAGTGTTAGTCTCAGCTATA